TGGTACTGAAAATATAACAATAATTTATAACATTTCGGCCTAAGCTCTTGAAAATGTTTTGCTGTATCGATGCAAAATACCAGGCAAGTTCAACCCGAAACTATTGGACTAGGATGTTAAAATAAATAACATGATGTTATAATCATGTCTCAGTCCCCTAATCACTGCAAAACTACTACAGTAATAGAGACGATTCGCGGAAACTATAATTCCACTGCATAGCAACAATTTATGCGAGCTATCATGAGTTATAGAACTTAACTTGAGAAGTGGACACATATCAAGTTTGTTCAATAATTAAATTGTTTGTAAATATTTCTTTTTTCGAGCACGCCAGTGATATCGATGACGGTATATTACTTATATTTATAAAGCCAATGGGTGATTATCTTATTAACAGTAAACAATTAAGTTATTGTAAAAAATTAATAAAAAAAGAAGATCATAGGGGTGTGAGGTATACGACAACTAATCGGGGAATCATGATCAACACGGGATTGATTCCTCGTAAACGGTATTGTAGAAAATTTATATGGTATTTTCTAATGAGCGTTTCCAACATAGGCGTCCACAGGGGATATGCAGGGTATGCAACTGCATACCTTAAACATAGAGCCTTGTTTCTAAAATTACAAAAAATAAATAAAAATTATGACATATTTGGTCTTATGTATATTATGTGATTTTGTATTACATTATAATTTTTATTATATTTTTATATTCAGTCCCAGACATTTTAATTTATTTTTGAAACACAAATTATATGCTATAATAAAGATTTAATGTGTTAATGAAATTAAGAAGTACAATGATTTAAGAGAGATTAAATATCTTTCAACTACAGAACAAGAAACGGCTATAAATTAAAATCCCAAAGATATTATTGGTGATATTAAGAATCAACTGAACGCAGAATCGTGTTATGATTAATTTTGATTATTTTCAAATTTATTTTGCTTTTCATTTAAGTGTATAATTATGTTTTTATTTATTTACCCTATTTAAATATATTACTCAAACCATGTCAAGTGTTATGTATTTAATTTTTTTTTCGTTATTTATTTTAAATTTTAATTATGAAAACAGTTATAAGAATTAAAAAATGGCTATTCAGCCCCCTTTTTCAGGAAAAAAAATTAAAATTTCAAATTAAACAGTTATTTAGACATTTGTGTGAATATTTTGACCAGAATTTTGAACGCTTAAATTGACTTACAGTTTTGGTGGGGATAGGCAGCGGTAGCATTTTGCATACCCTGAAAAAGAGGTCTATGCTCGCCTATGGATTCAAAAACAACAAAATAAACGTACATTGCACGGAGGACGGTCCCATAATTGTAGTGGACATGATGCGTTTCGCGTCATTTGTCGTAGATCGTCTGAACGACACTGTCCTGTTGGTCGCTACGCTGCGGCGGACCATAGGCACCGCGGACAGAGTGTAGAGCACGGGATTGACTGCAGCATTCAAGGGCAAAACGAAAACAGCTACCCAAGCAAATACCTGAAAAACACAATATTCAGCTATTACGGGTTAGGTAAGGAAATGTCTTCCTGCTTCCGAAGTCTTGGTGTTGATCATATTTTCGATAGATTTTACTGTCGATCTTTGCAGCAATAACGCCTAACCAAACTAAAATCCTGTATACGACGACGCGACGGTTCGTTTTGCGTACTAATAATGTGGAATAAGACATAATACTATGTGTTATTGGTGCTACGCTATTAGATATCACAGTATGCCGAGGACAATGTATCGTCATAATTACCAATTATCTTATTACGTTTCGTCCCTTTGTCGGATTCGGCCTCATTGAAAACTAATAATTATTATTATTATTGACCGATAATAAATCAACGATCATCATATTATTATACTACAGGCATAGAACCATTAGAGTATATATACATATAATATAATGTATATTCGTAACAGCTGCGGGTGCTTGGAAATTATGCGAAATGTTTAAACCGACTTATTAAAGAGTCTTACTTGAGGGTGTACAGTGAATCCGGCCAAAGACCACAGTCCTAATCCGATAATGGGCACCCAACACGCGGCGTCCGTGGCCACCAATAGACTCATTCGCCAAGCCATGGCGGATTCACTGAGAGACCGGTGTCGGATTAAGGTTTCCGTGGCGCGGTGAGTAGTTTTAGCGACAAAAAACATCCAAATGTAACTTCCGGATATCAACAACAGTGAACCCAGATTGACAACTAAAACCACAAATTTAGTATGTATACGAACAGCGGTTATGCAATTAAATACGTTTACTGAAACTAAAACAGGAAATCTAAAAAACATACACAGAAATATGAATACGGAGTACTCCCAGCCATTGGGTTTATCTGGAGTGATGTGTAATGCTAAGCACACGCCAGATCGACCATAAAAGTTTCTGAAAAATTAATAAATCATACGTGTTTGAAATGTATTGGATATTTTTCTCACGGATAAAAATCGAACGTGATTTCCTGTACGATTAGGTATACCTGAAGTAATGGATGTTGAACAGAGGGATAGCTGATATAACGATCGCCAAAAACCAACACAAAGCCATTAGTATACGCGTGAAATCCATTTGCAATCGCCGAACTTTGAACGGAAATATGATTACCAACAACCTTTCCAACGTGATCACTAAAATATTATTGCATCGATATTATTGTGCGAATAAACAATATTAAGTATATAAAATTATTATTGTTAAACGTAAATAATGAGAAAATATACATTTTTTTTTGTGAAAAAAAAATACATATATATATATTTTGAGATATTCCTTTCAATTCGCGTAGAAGACGTAGCTAATAATAAATTCTTCTTCCGAGCAAAAAGAAAAAAAATTAACACACCAACCTCAATTTCCCTTTGCTGTTTATTTTCCATAACAAAATATCGATTCTTTTTTTCAGTAGTGTGTTACTAATCATACACATATCAATTAACAGAGGTCCGTTATAGGAAAAGTTCTAGGTGCACTTTCATTCAAAAGAAATTTTAAATTTTATTCAACGCACTCGTGTGGGCATATCTTTCGTATAGTCACATTCAGACTAAACGTTGACAACCTGCAGTTATCGTAACACGACTGGTTTAAAAAAAATTATTATTATTTCGTTATTTCAACGCGTTACATTTCAAGAGTGAATCGATGCAATTATAATAGTTTAACTCAAGTTAGTCTGTTTTCGCAGTTACTTAAATATTACTAAATATTTAATTTAAAAATTTACCTCAAAAACATATTATTTACGACATTATAAATCAGCGTTGTTGGTTTTAAAATGGAATGATGTACCTATTACAAACTGAGACCTCTCGCAGTTTAAATTTTATAATAACGTAAGGAGTTCAAGTTACGCAGTATCTTAAGTTTCGATATAGAAAGAGAGGTGAAGATGGACGATGATCACTAGTGAGCCGTAATTCAGATGAACAGCACTATACAAACATAAATCATAACGAACAATGAGTGTACCAAGTATTGATTATATATTAATTGTATTCGATGTCTTGTCGTCGTTATCAAAATAACACGAAAAATATACCTATGAAAAAATATAGCGAAAATAAAGCGGAACTTACTTTGTTACGAAATCCATAACAGCGAAATAATTTATTTATGTTATTTTTATTTACAAAAGTAAATTAAAAATAAATAAAAATATTTTATCTTAGTATAAATTGATAAATGATTCCTTTCAAATAACCAATATTACTCTAAGAATTATGATATTAAGTGACATAACGTATTTTTTCTGAATAGTTTGTATGTAACTATATGGTGTTCTGTTATTGCTGAGGTATAATAGTTCTTATTGAAAGCTAATTATATAAACTAAAAAATAAATAAATAAAAATGATGGTTTAAGAACTCGGAAATAAACCGTTCATGTTTAATTTCTTCCAAATATTACTGCTCTTTCAATACATCAATCTTTAAGTTGGACGACATGTCCCTTAAAAGTATAATACCTCTAGACAGCCGTTATAATTATTTGTTATTTCTGTAGTTGACTGATATCTGATTTGTATCTGTTTATAGTTTTTCCCTAAACATTCGATATTTTTTTTCGTTACGATTCAAATTTATTACACTTTTTTACGATATTTTTAGTACGTTGTTTTGTTCTTTCTCTCCTTCTCTCACTATTTTGGCCGCATAACGTCGCGCGTACGCCTACCGGTCAACGTGAACACGGACAGCTCACTGGAAAACGTGCTTATGAAACCGGCCACGTTGCACATGGAGCTCCGCCTCCAGTCCGAGTCGTGTATGAAGTACACGCCGCGGTAATACCAGTCAACCACAGCGATCACCAACAGGTACGAGCCCATCAGGAAGTCGCCCAGGGCCAAGTTGACGATCAGGAATGAGTGCACCTGATTGGTGTGCTTGTATTTGGCCCGGAACACGATCACCATCAGATTAGCCGTGATGGCCACAACGGCCAGTATCCAGATGCAAACGCGCAACACGATGTTGGACATCAGATCCTCACACGAGCTGAACTCGTCCGGCAGCGGTCTGCACTGTTTGACGTACCGGGCTAAACAGCAAAAGCGAAACTCGTCCGTGAACCTGTATTAAAATAACAACCAATAGCAAGTAATAAAAATAAACAACAAAATAGCATGTAATCGTGCTGTATTCCTTAAAATCACCATATCTTTTCTTAATTGAAAAGGTATGTGTTAAATAAATATTCTCCGATAAACACTTCGTTATAGTTGTAAAGCGTGTAAATCGACACGGTGTATTATAAAACTACGCTCTGTCGTTAGAATGCGACTATCACAGCTGCATATCCCCAGCCTAACCTAATGGTTAGGACATAACTACTATAATTATAATTATAACATAATTATAGTATATATAACCTAATATAGTATATAATATAACCTAATTATAGTAATAACATAATAACCTAACCTCGAACTTTCGAGTTCAAATTTTTACAGTCGTTTGTATTTTGTTTGTGCTTGTTTGTGCTTTTATTCCCGTCGTTTGTGCTTAACTCGTTTCCAAGATGTTAAACATTGAAAAAGAGGGGGCCTAAGGACATGCTTAATAAATTCAAAATATATTTAAACAAACTTTTAGTGTATATTGTTTTATTAACACATTTTATAAAGTAAACTAAGTGTATGTAAGTAACCAATTTTTTATTTATTGTTGACCTGTTCGTTAATTCAGCTGCTCGTAAACTGTTGTACTTTCGGAATTACACAATGTTACAAAATATACGCGTACGACGTTTTACGTATGAATCAACGTTGTGTGGTTGCGAAACGCAAAAACAACGACGGATAATAATCGACTGAACTGAACACTAAACAAATAATCTATTATTCTATACCTGCTATTATTTTTATCGACATCCGATCGATATCCAGCGGGTTATACGGTCGATACGGTGTTATAGTATTATTTATACTTAAACAAAAATTATAACGAGATATGAGAGGTAGTTTGCAGACAGTATATTATTGGAAGTATTAAGTCCTCTTAGTACATTTTTTTTTCGATCGGTTGAAATATGTATCTAGTTTTTAATTTTAAATTTGAAAAATTTGTCAAAGTATACAAAATAAGCATAAATATCTTAAAATATGCACTCTCCTGCAAAATATATCAAACATACAAAAATATATATGTAATATATGCAATATATTACTTTCAAATTTTAGATCTGATGTCATGGCTCCGAGAAATGAATTTATTTTGCAATCTGCTATATTTAACAATAATAAAAAAAGTATGCAAATGTATTTATCTCTAAATAGTCAGACATGTTATAATAATTGTTAAGATCCATGGAAAATAATAACATAATAGGTACTGGTGTACAATATACATATATATTATATAGAATAAAATTAAAAAAAATACTTAGATTTGTATTCAAATACTTTGTGAGTATTCGTAAATTACATTTTTACAATAGTACTTTAAAAGTATTTTTAATAATTTTTTATTCGAATAATAGTATTAGTATCTTAATACTTTTTCAAAAGTATTGTTTACAAACGGTGTTTACGGTTAGACACGTAGATATGCATAAATTTAAGTGCAAATTCGCAGTAGCCAGTCAGATTTAAAATTCCTTGGCCTGATAAAATAGTCGCTTAAACGTCTACCCAAATTTAAAAATGATAAAATTAAAAATGTTTCAAACAATTTTAAAAACGTGTTATGATATTATTATAGAAGTTTTTTTCAAAATGAAAATTCATCAATAATGAATATATCGCTTTGGGGTTTTGGAGAGAAGAGTTCTTATTGTTTTAAAATACACGTAAAAATGTTGAATATTTAAATTTTTGTACACAAATTAATTTAAAAAAAAAAAATAAAGTGGGTCATTATAAAAAAAATCCCAAGTAAATCAGAATTTTCTGCTGAAGTTAGATCACAAATCTGCACAAACTTGGAATAAACGAACAGGTCAATAATAAATAAAAAATTGGTTACTTACATACACTTAGTTTACTTTATAAAATGTGTTAATAAAACAATATACACTAAAAGTTTGTTTAAATATATTTTGAATTTATTAAGCATGTCCTTAGGCCCCTCTCTTTTTCAATGTTTAACATCTCGGAAACGGGTTAAGCACAAACGACACGAATAAAAGCACAAACAAGCACAAACGAAATACAAACGACTGTAAAAATTTGAACTCGAAAGTCCGAGGTAGGGGGGCTGAGCATGTCCCCAGTCCCCCCACCTTGATAGTTAGATAACTCAGAAACGGGTTAAGCACAAACTACGGGAATAAAAGCACAAACAAGCACAAACGACTGTAAAAATTTAAACTCGAAAGTCCGTTGTGGGGGGGGGGGCTGGGGACATACAGCTGACCACCACACTATAACGATGTTTATAGATATGTTTGTATTTATTGATTTTTTTTTTTCAAGAAGTTACATTTTTGTTCGTAGTGCCTACGAAGTGTCTAGTCTAACAGCGTTAAAATTGATTTCGCTATTTTTTTAGATGTATTATTGCTGAACAGTAAATTTAATGGCACTTATACAAAAAAAAAAAAAAACACTACTTTAATGTTATTAACTCACATTGTTTCCAGTAACGGCATTGTGAAAAAAACGTTCTGGTCTATAACTCTTAACTGGTTATTCTTGACGTTTCTGTGAAAAAGGACTCGTATATAAACATTAAGTTACAAATTAAATTTCACGCTCGAAAATAAAGTTAAAAAATATACTCACAAAAATACCACTTGGGGCATTCCGCGAAACGTTCCGTCCAATATACGAGTGAGTGAATTCTCTGATAGATCTCTAAAATAACACGGATTACTTGACGAATCAACATAATAAAAACAACGAGCTTAGAATACTAACAAGCTTTTTAATGATCGCAGACCGAGAAAAGCGTCCGTCTCTATGTATGTAATGTTCTGTTTGCTCAAGTCACTGTTAAATCAAAAATCAAATCAACTCCAGATATTTCGTGATCTCAAGAAGTGCACCATGTACTTACAGTGTAATCAAAGAAGATAATCCTTGGAATGCATTGGACTTCACCTTATATATATTGTTTCCTTGCAAATGCCTAAAAGTTAATTTTATTTTAAATTTTATTTTACCTGTATTAAACATATAAATTATTATAATAATATATAAGTGATACAATGTTTGCCTGAAAAAATATTCTTTAATACAACGCGACGTATTTCGTGATTGAATTGTCGAAATAAATAATTGATGAAGTGTAATATGTTGACATAATAGTTTAAATTATTAAAAGATTGTTTATCTTCGAGTTATTTACAAATCTCGAACAATATCTATTCACGGTATGTTATACAATTATTTACGATATTTGTAAAATCTATTTAATAAAAATAAATTGTACGGATTTATTTATTTTTAATTCAACTTTAAATGTTTGCTTTAAAATCATGTCCAATGATAATTAAAAACATTATGTTAAATAAATACAAAACGTTGCGTAAAATAGTTCAATGTATGGCTTAGCATTAACTTATTCCAAGTTTCATAATTACTATAATTATAAAAGACTAGCAGTACAAATATTAATTTTCGGTTATATTCTAGAAGTTGACAAAACTCAATGCTGAGTCAACAACCAATCCTAAAATGTTTAGTAATTAATTAATCTCACAATCCCGTCAGCCGACCGAGTCCCAAAAATGAACCATTTTCCAAAATCGTGATTTCGTTATTTTGTAAATTTAACGTTTTCAAACGCCAAAGTGTAGAAAACACAAATGGTTTCAAGTATTTTATCGAGTTATTCATTAAGTCTCTGAAAACAAGAATGAGATAAAAGTTATATGAGCACTGTTTACAATATGTTTCAACGTACAATTTATGTTTACTTACAAATAAACCAATCGATCCAAATGTTCAAAAGTTTTTGCATTAAGATCGCTGGAAAAATTATTCCCGCCCAAGTGACTGTAACAACGTTTACGTAAATTCCATTATTTTATATTTCAATATGTATTGTTTTATTACCAACGATTACTTACAAGAACGTGATCTCTTTTTCTATATCGTACGGGAACTGTTCGAGACCGTGGCCGGTGCAATTTATTTGGATATCTTGACACTGACAGCTAGACGCTATTCTCGAGCATTCGAAAGCTGAAATCCATAATCATTAATAATTCAAAAAACACATACACGTTATTAAAAAAGCGATTGTAAATCTTACGACACTTTTCTTCGTCGTCCCAAGTCAAATCACAATCGACATGCATGTTACACACCATTGACTGATGTATGCAAGGCCCCCGGTGACATTTGTATTCATTTTCGGCGCATATTGAATCGACTGTGAACCGCACATACATATGGAATCAAATTTTGCTGCCGACATTAATATAATATCATTTCGATAGCGTATTATAACTTAATTTGAATACATCATAACGCACGACAATTCAAAATATATTGTTCTTGTCTGTCCATAAGACTCTAAATCGAGTTATCAAAATTCTTTAAAACAATAATTATCTGTCTAATATCTGCCTAATTAAGCATGAATTAAAAATTCACCCTGTTTTCGTATGAAAACTTAACTATAACTCGAACGAGCATACACTCATCAGGGGCGTATTTAAAGGATGGGCCTACAGGGCCCGTGCCCCCCCCCCATTCACCGTATTTTATACTTTATTTATTATTGTAGGCCCTCTTATTTTTCACGCACAGGTACACGGTGGAATACTGGAATATCAATATATCATGATAATATGATACACTTGATATTTGATACCCATATAACTAGCTACATATGTGCATTGCTATAGCCACTACTTAAAATTCAGTTTTAGTTAAGGCATGTTCAGTTCAATCAGTGCGAAATACAATTGGAATTGTTGAAGAAGTTATAAACTTCATAAGAGATTCTCCAAAAAAACTTGAAATTTTTAAAAGTAAAAATAAAAAACACTGTCCAATTTTTAAGGGGCCTCGCTATAGCATTTATTTAAGAACCAACATTTAGATCATTTCTAATCACATAGTCGCCACCCGAGGTCTATGTGTTAGTTGTAAATGATTATTAGTGTGTGTGTAGAGTTAATGCGGATATCACTTCTTTCCGCACCATCATCCAGGTAGTTGTTCATTGTAATCATTATCACAGTATACCATATTTGATGAATTTTAGTAATCGAAAATTAGATACCCACGTTTTGATATACAACAGAAATTAATAAAAAAAAAAAAAATAGCAGCAAATAGTTTGCAGTGCAATGTAATTCGTACTATTATTTCTATTATTTTGATTCATGGTGGTCTCTTATTCCCTTTATGAAATCTTTGTATTTTATTCTTGTCGATAAAGGAATTTTAGTTTTCAATTTATATTTGGAATTCATTTTTCTAATTACAATAACTAAATAGTCTTTACAAAAACAAACAGGGCTCGAAATGGACCGGAACACAGTTCCGGTTCACGAAAAATTTTTTTTTAGCGTTCCGGTTCGTAAAAAAAATAACGTTTATCGTTCCGGTTCAAATAAATTTTTAGTGTACCTACCATATTTTGGTAAAATTTAAACATTTTGCAGAATTGTTCATTATAAAATATTTAATAAACATCAAACGACCGCCATGCATAAATACATTTATTGCTTATCTATACGATAATCGCCGTCCGTCGATAATGTATTTTAGCTTTATTTACACCAGTGGTTCTCAAACTGTGTTACGCGTACTTCTTTGGGGTACTCGAGATTTTTTAAGGGGTACGAGTCTGGCCAACAAACCTTCACATTTAAATTACTTATGTGGAAAAGGTTATTCAAGTTTAAAAGTAAATATAGAAACAAGTTAAATATTGAAGATGATTTAAGATTTTACTAAACTAAATTAGAATCCAATATTGATCAACTGTGCCAACAAAAACAAGCTAAGCCTTCTCACTTATTTTTTTTTGGAAGTAAGCTATTTTTGTTTTTCACATGTTTTGTGTATATGTTTTAATGAAATAAAAATGTAATTTTATAAGTTTTTAATTTTTTTTATATTTATTTTAGTTTTTCTAACTAAGAAGGGGTACCCAAAAAAGTTAATTGATAAAAACGTATACAGTGTTTATAAAAGTTTGAGGATCCCTGATTTACACAATACGTATGTGTATTTTAATAGTTAAAAATAAAGCATTATACCGGGTTCACACTATTGAAATTTTTTGTATGCTTTTTCCCACATACTTATTTTTACTTGTGCAAGAACAAAACTGAACAAATGTTAACGTTTATAATACGTAATGCAAGCTCTTGTATGCTCAAACTTGCATGAAGTCCAACACGTCGGACAGAAGTTAAATGCAATATGGTAATTTTAAACCAGTTTATTCCTGAACACGAATAGTGAACCACGTGATCAATGTGATTTCTTATTTCAAAACAAACTGATGCGCCATCACTATTTCTTATATTAATCCATTGTCGAACCCATAATCTTTTTTTTAAAAGCTTCTTGCTTCTTTTCTAAGATTTATTTACGAAGCATATCGCGAACAATAAGTACTCCTATTTTGTTTGATCCATTTAACAGTCTCGTTATAACTTTAAAAAAATAGCACTTCTACTCACGATCAGATCACTTTTGAAACTAAACAATATTTAAATACATATAAGACTAAAAATATAGAAGCATATATGTGAATAGAGCTCTTAAAACACGTGTCATGATTTATCCAAATATATATCCATTTTTATAATGATGAAAATTAGTAATTTTATGTTATGCACTTGAAGTTTTAATAAAATATTAATAGTACAGTATTAAGTTAAGGGGTTACGTTCTTATTTTGAATTTTACACATGACACGTAAATTCACGTGTATTAAGAGCACTTTATGTGAAAATGCACTTTTTAATATTTAATTACATTTCTGATTTTTATATGAACATTTTATTTTTTCGATCGATTATCGTTTGATAATACAGACTTAAAAAAATTGCATTATTAGTCGTTATTAATTGATATAAAATTATATTTTGCATATTTGTAACTATTGGTGATTTAGTTTATTAGTTGTGTATAATTATAGAAGAACATTTAGTTGATTTATGTGACGTATAAAATCACTTTCTAAAGCACAATATTGGTTGAACATAGATATCGAATTCGAATTAATTAAATTTTTTTATTCGTTCGCATTTTGATTTTAGAGTTTTCAGATTTTGTTTCAAGAAAGTAATTCAGTACCTGTCCAGAACATCAATTACAATGATGAAGAATGAGTCAATGGTGCCAGGCCAACCTAGTTCAGGAGATGCTATGAATAATGGCAATAGCTACGATCTTGTATTTCCAGCTTTGCCAGTTTCGAAGACATCGAATAAAATTGGGACTGTACCATTTAAAAAACGGAGTAATGTTAAATCTTCAACGGTGAACGAAGTAATTAATCATGCCAATTTAATAGTAATTAATAAGTATTAGAACGATCAGTCTGATATTGACTTGTAACACGGTCGCATGTCGGTGCGGTTATAATTTGCCCGTTCCGTTACCGCAATTTTAGTTAAGTTACTTTATTAGTTTATTTAAGTTAAGTTAGTTAGTTCAGTTCACGGTATTATATTTATGCGACTTCACTTTCAAGATGGACAACATACCCTCTCCGCTTACTACCAAACCCAAACGCTCGCTTCTATCATAGCCTAATTCTGCAATCCATAAGAGGAAAAACACTAAACCATTAGTTTCGCCTAATCGTTTCGCTGTCTTTTCGAGCGAAGTGGACAAAGAAATCAAACTCGACACCTCTTGTGACGTTCAATTTATAACCAATGAATCTATTGTTTACTATCAATATAAAAACATCAGGTCACTAAATATATCAGATGCCCTATTGGAATTAGATTCCCGCAAAAGAATTAAGAATGTCATTCAAAATGGCCATACGCTTCCGCTGTTCTTTGTTGCAATTAATCCAAATACAAATGATAAAAAAATTCCTAATGAATCATCAATGTTGCACACAAAAGTTTAAGTTGAATAACCCAATAAGACTTAGTGATTCACCTCAGTGTCTGAAATGACATAGCTACGGTCACAATGTTAACTATTACCATCACCATACCGGAAATAATGATGACCCTTCATCCTTCACACTGTGTTAAACGCAAAGGAAATCACTTCTGAAACAGTTACATCAAAGAAAAATACAGTTTAACCAAGTGCGTCTTTTGCGCGGGTGATCATACTTCCAACTAAAAAGGTTGTCCTAAACATAAATTACTTCTTAAACGTCGCAAAACAACCCACTTGTAATCATAAAAATAAAAATATTGTACTCACGTCTCCTTTTATCAAACCTCTTTCCAAAGTTTCTTGCGCCTCCATCACTAGTTCTAATAATATCTTATTACCTAATAGATATATACTATTATACTGTTTTCCAATTAATCTCAGGTTTTCTGGCATTAATAAATCTAATATTTTCCCTTCTTTTATATTATTACAGCTCTTCTACGCAATCAACTTACTTCTAAGCCCAAATTATTTTCTACCTTATTCATTTAAATGATCACGTCTTTAACCACTTGATATGTTATCCGTTACTTATAAATTTTAATTGGTCAATCAAAATTAACTCTTATTTTATAATTATCTCAAATTATTATATTTTACTAATATTATTTTATGATAATGATTATTATATATTAATGTTAAAATGCATACTTAGTTATCTTACATGATATAATTGTTGAGCTATAATAACTTTGTGTTAAAAGGTAAATAAAAATTATAGAATGATAATTTGCATATTAAAGAACATCATTATTATGATTTTAAATAACATTTTTCTGTATAAATAGTAATAGTTTAGAAAGTTTTTGTTGATTTATAACTAGAATATAAATAAAATACTATCTTGATTTTTGTTTTGTAAAATTTGTAGATAATTACAATATCTGCCCAAGACAGAAATTGGAACAGGAATAGTCAATTAGAGCATGAAAAATGTAAGGAAGCATATATAAAAATTGGGAAAGAGTATAATGTAGGAATAGAGATTTGTATTTCAAAAACCATGAATCTGACTTTACTAATCAGCGGCAATAGAGTTAATGTTGAACGAGCAAAACAAAAGATTATCACAATCGACCAAACTCAAGTAAATAAGTTTTAATTAAGTTGGAATAATAAGACAAACTGATAAAAATAATATTTATTATATATATATATATATATATATATATATATATATATATATATTATATTTTTGTGTACAAATTATGAATAATTTATTATTATTATTATTATTATTATTTTTTAATATCATAATATATAAATGTACATAATAAT